CAAAATATATATATATATATATATATTGTAATTAAGCATTGTTTTATTTTAGAAAAAATTGTTTTTATATTTATCTATTTTTTAAGAATAATAATATATATTATATTGTACGAATATAGAATTGAAGTTGAATTAAAGTTAATCTACATTGATAGAAATAGGCATTAAGCCTCTACAGATTACATGAGGGATGTGTGTTCTACGACATATGTAAATTCACAGCTTAAAGTATTAATTATTTCAATGTATGTGCATACATATCGGCTGTGTTCAGCAGAAAAAAAAACAGCTTTGCAGCTATTGTAAAATTCTTTGATATGATTGGTCTCCTCTTACGAGGAGAAAAATAAATGTATTCCAACGTGTATCTACATTCATGTGTTAACACACAAAAAAAGTCTGTAATCAAAAAGTTTGTGGATGTTAAAACAATAACAACCTCAATACATTATAAATATAAAAAACTCATCAGTGGCTACATCAGCTATTCGGATGCACAGAAAATTCTTTATTTTCGTGTGAATATAACAAAACGAATAAAATAAACGTTTCGATTCTTCGATTCGGGTCCTTATCAATATGAAATATAAATCGAAATTATGTAAGTAACGCAAATTCCAATCTATGTAATGAATAGCCCAATAATTATCAAAAATATTTAACTTATACAATAATAATATAAAAACTTACATAAAGTAAAACCGAAATCATATACATTGCGTCACTAAGTAGAATCACATCGCTCATCAGATTGTCAGATTTGCTGTGTAGTCATTCAAAAGAAACACGAAAACGAAAAATTAGAGAGAATTATTCAAATTATTTGTTTGAATTTTAATTACGTGTAAGCGTTTTCTCGCGACTCGTTGTATAGCTAATTTGGCATTTGGATAAAGAAGAACGAACTAAATTGTCGGGAATCATCAACTTGGATTTTGCGTTACTTATGTAATTTCGATTTATATTTTATATTGATAAGGATCCGAATTGAAGGGTTGAAACGTTTATTTTATTTGTTATGTTATTTTATATGTTACTTTCACACGAAAATAAAGAATTTTCTGTGCATCCGAACAATTGATGTAGGCTCTGATGGGCTTTTTTACATTTTTCACTGATAGATTCTTTCGAGCCTCATTTTATATATTTGTACATCATAAATACAATATAATTATCCCAGCAAACGAGAATGGATTGAAATTTTTTTCTATCCGAATGCGCGCGCGCGTATTTTAAATAGCGAATACTTTTTTTTTTGTATTTAATTGGATTCAATTAGATTCAATTGGATGCAATTGGATTGAAAAACTGCATTTTCCTACTCAAAATTTTGAATCGAACAATATTCACAATATACAGAAAAAGCTAATATTATTTTTAGATTGAAAGGCATAGAGATATATGCTCCATGCAATTCCTATAAATGAATAAAAATGCATTCAGTATTGAAAAGCATTCATTTTAACATTCGTGAATTAATTATTTCTGAAAATCGGAATCCATTTCAATTCATTTCAATCCATTCTCGTTTGCTGGAATCATAAATATTGAAAAAAATATTTAGGCGAACATAGTTGCGCTCATGGACGAGACTGATGTCACCGCGGTAAGTAACACGATCGCCCAGGAGCAATTCAAATTGTCGGCGAATTATGTGCGTCAGATGACGGATCGGATACTGTGCTTCTGCCCGGACGCCCTCGTGGCCGTGTTCGCGCGCCCTGTCACCGCTACGCTCGCGATGGTCTCCGAGATATTTCGGTGTTCCGGTTGGTGGAATCCGGACCGGATCGTCGGCTCAATCGCGACGTACAGTGGACGAATCGAAAAGATGGTGGCGGCAATCCTCGACTTGGAGCGTGCGAGTCTCTCGGTGCCGCTGACCGGCGGCGCCGACGCGCAAACCGTCGTGCCGTTACTGTCGCGTGCTCTTCCCTTCAATCAATTCACAAACGTACGAATCAGTTAGGAAATTTTAATTTCTAATCTCTCTAATATATATAATAGTTTTTTTTTTAAAAGAATTTAGACACACTGTAAACTGTTAGAAATTATCAGTCATTTTTAAGCGATCGTAATGTGCTTTTAAAAAATGTAAAAAGAATTATTTAATATGTAAATAATATGTAATCTGTAAATTTATGAAAAGTTATTTAATTCAATTTGATTAAATACTTCTATACTATAAATGTATTTAGTATTTGTATAATAGTATTTAGTTTTTTTAAAGAATTAAACAATTGCTTCCCCTAAATCTGAAATGAAGAGAACAAATATATACGAGTATATTAAAGCAGAGGACAATAATTTCGTCTGTAATTGTTTCTCCGTTTTATTTGATAAGTAGAAAAAAACTATCGCATCGACCCCTAAATAAAATAGTTACATATTCATCTGCAGAAAAAAAATAAAAATTCTAATAATTCTCTAAAAATTAAAAACAAATTCCTATATACTAAGAATCAAAATCTTTATAGCACAGATATTGAATGGGCAAAGATCAAATGCGCATCACATATCTCTTGTAAATATCTTCTGGATTCTTAATGTCATTTACACCTTCGTTAGTTAATATAATTAACGATATTT